CCAAGGAGCGGATCTCTTGCTCCTGCCGGGCCAGCCGGGAGGCAATCCCAGCGGTGGCGGTGGCGGCCGCCATGCTCCGCTCCGCTCGGAGGGAAGGGAAGGGAGGCGGAGGCGAGGGAGGCGACAAGCGGCCGCGTTCCTCCTCCTTCCCGCCAAGAGGGGCGCCGCCATCTTAGCCGCCTTGGGCTCCGCTGGCCGCCATGCCGCCCTTCCTTCGCTTCACCCTCTGCTACCTCCTCCTGTGCCTCTTTTATGCCATTATCTATTACCTCTTCATACCCCCCATCCAATAATAATAATAATAGTCATCCTCATCTTTTAAAAATTCCCCAAGAGAACGCCACGGAAGGAAGGGAGGCTCACCCAAAAAAGCCCTCCCGAGCCTCCCTCTGGTTGGGTTGAGGGAGGAGAGTCTCTTAAAAAATCCGTAAAAATCAATACAAATAGAGTTAAAGGGAAAAGGTCAGTCCTCCCCGTCGAAACCTTCAGTCGGCATTATGAAAAAATAATCACCCACAAAGCGGAGGAGAGTTTTAAACAGTCAGTCTGAGGAGAAGTGTTTTCTATTTTAATTTCTATTTTGGGTCCTGGTCAAGGTCATACTTAAGAATATCGAGGGATTTAAGACCCACGTAATTCTCCGTTGATAAAAAAAATAAATACAAAGAGAAAATAACAAAGAAATTAACGTCAAATACAGTTGCTGGTTAGCTTTCAGGTACTATGGGTGTAGTAGATCCCAGTACCTCCCACGGTTTTTGTTTTACCTCAGGTTTATCATTTGTTTGTACAAATATTTATAGGCTGCTCACAGAAGGAAGACAGGCCCTTTAAAAAGGATTTCCCGAACATGCAATATTTAATTACTTAATATTTATACCAGACATTTGATCAAAATCCACTCTAGGTGGGTTTTCAACATGAAGAACAAAACAACCGTCTATCAATAAAACATAGTTGACTACAGGACTGAAACTTCAAAATAAATGTAAAATGCAAAAGTTCATATTCCTGCGCAATATGGTAGGCAGAGTAATACTGAAGAGACTTATAACAGGTGGGTCTTCTGCCCTAAAAAAATAAGAATTATCAGACCCTTGTTTAAACATCATATCTGTGGTCCATATACTGTATAGAGGCTTTCTTTTTCTTCTGAGGATGTTTAGACTAGCAGGCGTTGAATTTGTTTATTTACAGCCAAAGACCAAACAAGATGAACCATAGACAAGGAGAGGACAAAACAAACAAAATTTGCAACATTATACCAAGCAATAGCTCCCAAAAGGCATAAACTTTATGTAGGCCAGCAGGAAATGTGAGATAATTGTAACATTTCTGAGTAATTCTGAAATGCAAACAGTTTAAAAGTGTTCTGGAAAGTGTAAGGAAGGGCCAGGTCGTAAAACCTGTAAAGGGAAGAAATAAAATACAAATAAGACCACTTCCAGTGGAAAGAAATGACGACATTTATTGTCAGACACTGAATAATAGACATTTAAAAACACAATTAAAACATTTTAAAACAAACATTTACATGTTTTTTAAAAATCATGAACATGTTAAAATAAGGATTTTTTTAAAAAAGCAATGTGACTCAGTCATTTCCCAACATTCAGTGTTCCCTCAGAGAAACTGCCCGTTGCATTCAATAAATAACAGCAGTGGTCTGTCACAGTTGGAAGTGTAAGGAAAATAAATGTGTATGTGGCACTCAATGAAAGTGCCAATGTTGCTTTCAAATCTTTGAAAATGTATTTCTAGGATCAAAATGAGTCAGTTTGGGACAACGTCCCTGTATCTATTTATGCCTTAGTATTTCCCCGTTATGTTTTCTGACTATAATGATTTTATTAAAAATTTTGTTATTCATTTGGACTCTTCTGACAAGTTTATGGAAATGATACTTAGTTATCTAGAAGAGTCCAAGTGAATAACCAAAAATATCACAATAAATATTATTTATCATCAACCTAAATCACCATAATTATGAACAGAACGTCTGACAATAGAGCAATTAATGAGTGTGAATTGTCAGCTAATACACAGTGGTTAGGATGTTGTTTCTAAAGTGTTAAAGCAACAACATTTCTTTTCAGGACCGAGCTGGCTGGGCTGGGGCCAGACTTTGCCCAAATAAAACAACCTTTTAGCTGTGCACACCTGAGGCAAAAAGAGACAAGAGTTAAAATGACCCTATCTTTATGTAAGCCTCTAACTGTACAATAGAATTTATGGACATAATCCAATCCAGCCATTTGATTTTTCAAATTTCTATTTGGCATTTCTTTAGGTTTTTTTTTCCCTCCTACACTAGTCACTTTGAGACCAGCAACAACGTTCTGAAAGGTTACATATCCTGGCAATGGCTTTATGCTGCTCTTAGATCAGATTTATTTTCCTTTTACTGTCTTATGAACAGAACGCAAAGAGATATTGCTAGCCCTAGATGGTATATACTGTACCGTATCACCTTAGGCTTAGAAGATGAAGAAGTAAATAAACCCTTGATGTTGTGGATGACATTGTAGTGACCTGTAACACTCCCGCTAAAGTAGATGTGGGGATACATTTGCCACTCAGTTCTGTAACAGAGCCTGGTTGCTCTCTCTGTATCTATGTAGTGTGGGCTGTTAGGCATCAGTACCTTAAGCTGGAGGGTTGTTTATAAGCAAGACCAGCTTGTCAAGCAAACCCTGAGAGAACAAAGTGTTACTGCCCTTGTTTTGTCCACACAGGAAATGGCAATATCTGCTAACAAGCACAAGATGGCAGTACCCCAGAGTATTTGCTTCAAGAAACAAAGACTTTTAGGCATTGTTTATTTTTCTGCAGATACCTGGGGTATGTATGTATTTACAGTATAAATATATGTAGACTCATACTGTGAGGGTGACCTATAAAGAGTAACACCACAGGCAAAACACACTTTACCATTTAAACAGGTTTGCAGCTTCTCGTGGTTGTAAGAATTTTGTATGGCAATTTATGCTTAAGCATTTCTGCCTACAGTTTTTCCATAGTTGCAAGTGTTTTTACAACGTTGGTGTATTTTTGTGTTTGTGGAACATAGAAGCAATGTGGATAAATAAAGCTTGTAGAATTAGACAAGCTAGTTTTGCCTGGAATCATTGCAACAATGCAAAATATGTATATGCCTCGATGCTCAGATGAATTTTGCTATGATTGGAAATTATTGGTTTAATTCTGGAATGATCCCATAACTGGGATAAATGCCAGTTGTGAACAACACAGGCTTCTGATTCCCCCCGTCCCCCCGAGGTCTATACAGTTCTGTAGGGATCTTGGGAAGATGTTGAGACATCAGAATCTCTTACTGGACACACCCACTCCCTTCAGGTTTTCAAGGTATGAACTGAGTTTCACAAAGATGAACCATAAATAAAGAGCCTGTGTCTTCAGAAGACATAATCACTGAAGGGATAACAACCATCCGTCGCAATGATTGTTGAACTCTGGAACTAGAAAGATTGCCGGAAGCAGCATGGGGATCTAAGGAAATGGGCAGGATGGCTAATACTCTCTTTCCAAAGGGGATGGGAACAACTGTGTGCGCCTTTGCATTCATAGACTACAGGGACCATTTTTGTTCTGTTATGATGTTTACCAAGCATCTCAAGCATGTTGCTACAGAGTTATTCAAACATTCCTCACACATTAGCCAGCGGGTGCGGGGAGAACAGGCTCAAGACCATGAGCCACACATCCTCACTGTTCCACACACTGAAGTATAAATTGGAGGTCCCTGGCAGGGCCCGAATCAGGACGGTCCTACCATCCTGGCAGGCTGAAGCAGCTGTTTCAGCCAACTGGTGTGGGATGTTCTGAAGCAACAACAAATAATTATATACAATTGTTGCATTTGTAATAAAATGTCTAGGCTAGCCCCAGACAGAAACCATGGTGATATGTAGCTCCATAGAGGTCATACCTCTGATGCTAATTAATGCAGTGGGAAATGGCAAAAAGGCATGTGAAATAATAGCCATGTTTGAGGGTTGTGAGGTGACCATCTGATGCCTGACCATCTGATGCTCTGCCTCAGCTCAGCTGAGGCCAACAGAGACAGTATGATTTTTATAAATAAATAATTAAGTACATGCGGAAACCTAACAGAAAGTGAAATAAAATAAATTCCTGCTATAGTTCACAGGCATTTACATGTTAAGTTGGATGTTATGCAAGTGTGATCCTCAATGAATAATTACAGCTGGCAGCACACCTACGTTGGAGCTGTAAGAATCTTTTCACTTAATCCTTATTCATTAAGTAGAACTATTTATGAGCATTTTGAAAAGAAAACGATCCACCAAATCACTACACATAAAATGCTTACTGTTAAAAGTTACTGGTGCCATCTTTCGTAAGGATCCTTTCTAGAATATTTCTTTCTTCCTCCAAAAGACCTCCCAGCAACAAAACAATAGATTTTTAGGCCTTGTTTTGGCATATAATATAATTGTCTTTGCGCTACTGCTCAAAAGGAGCAACGATCAGTTGATTGTAGGATGATTTGAATTGTGTGTCCATCAGAATTTTTGCCTTGGTATCCACATGAAGATACATTGGTGTTTGTTGTTTTTACTTGGGTTTAAATGGGATTATTCCTCTGGTACTTTGTCTCATTTACTTCTTATAAAACAATGTATCTTTTTAAAATATCAGTTACAAAATTTCAAGTTGACACTAGACCATCTCTTGTCTGCCTTGTTATGGTTGTGGTGATGCTTATTAATGCTTGTAAAAGGCCAATTAGCACAAAGTAATCCTCTTAGCGGACTGCAAGCACTGTGTGTGGTGTGTGTGTTTTTCCTTTTTTAATTTGAACATAGGCCTTCTCTTTTCCGGCTGAATTGACATATCCATTGGCAGACAATAGGCACTTTGCGTTCCTGTTATGTTACTGTAGCCTGCTGAAAACAGCTCAACTGACACAGAATACTTGGAATATCTTCTTTTCTTATTTTTAGCCTAAATGCAAACATGTTTGGATGGTCCGCCCGGTCTTGGTTTTATAACTGTGCAAAAACGACAATAAAAGGAAGCAGAGATAGGAATCACTGGCTTGCCGATATCCTAAGCAACCACAGGGAGGGAATCGTGAGAGAGCTGGATGTGCAGAAAGTGCTGTCATATCTCGTTTATGAGAGAGTCTTTTCCTTGGAGGAGTACAAAGACATTTTGTCCCGGGAGTGCTACGAGAAGCAAGCTACATATTTTTTAGAGAAACTCGCAGGCAAAGGCCCCGGCGCCTTGTCCACTTTTTGTTCCGTGCTGGAAGAGGTCTGTCCCCACTTGCTCATTTCCATTCTCCTTGACTACCAAGGTAAGGTCATAGGTCCTGCTGTCTGAAATGTTCCAAGTGTGTTATCGGCAGTGCCTTCGAATCCTTCCACACTAACAGTCTATAATTAGAAGTTACTTTCTCTCTTGTGCTCGGCATTTGCTCTTGTTATAGCTCCTTGTTAGAGACAAATTAAAGTGACTAGAAATAACAGATGGATAAAGCAAATGTTTTATTTCTATCTTGATATGCAATTGTGGTAAATTATAAATTATTAATACCAGTAAGTTAAGATTGTCACTGAGAATGCAACTGGTTCATAAAAAACATTCTCTGACCAAAGCAGTTGTTCATCTGACTGGATTATTCAGTGGTAATTCATATATATGTTGCCTTAGAGACGGCATCTTTTAAAACAAATCACAAGAAAAAAGCAAGATCTTACAGCACCTTTAGGACTAATAGATTTATATTAGTGTGAGCCTTCATGGATTATATTTCACATAGCTGCCTCTTTGAAAATCGTAGCAGCATTCATGGGGTAACTTGTTCTACAATTCAAGTCACTATTCTGTGAGACTATGTTGGGAGTATGAATAAGAATATTGTAATTACTGCAGAAAAGAATGGCCAACAGGCAACTGAAAAATGTATTAATTCAAACAGATAGCTAAATGTAAATAAATAAATACAACACACTTATATGTCTATACACCATGGAAATATGTCATAGGTCAGATCACAACACCTAAACCAATCAGATTTAAGCGTAAATGTCCATAGGACAGCCACCTTAATCCCATTTACTTGAGAGATCAGTTTAGCCGTGTAGTCCAATAAATTTTTATTTAGAAGTCCAGCCCATTGTGTTCATTGTAGCCCTCCCACAGGTGTGTTTCAGATTGTGGTCCCGTTGCCCTGGCTCAAACAGGTTGTTGACTGGTGTCTAAATTATCTATACAGACATGTTATTCTGAGTGACCTAGAAGTTGTATTGTGGGTTTGTTATCTCAGTTACATGCGACAAAGAAAGACAGAGAATTAAAGGATTCATCAGGCATTCTATAGTAAAGTTCCCCCACGGAAGAATAAAACTCTGAAAGTAACCTGACCTGTGAAATAGTCACCACTTACTCCTCTATTATTTCACACAATAAACTTAATTATCTTTAAAACTGGCAGTCACAAATCCAATGTGCAGAAAAGCAATGGAGCATTTACCATAATTTGCTTTTCAGCAGAGGGCCATGTATTTATTTATTACGCACACACCATGATTTACTGGACAGGTTTATGATTCTGACAAGGATGTAGAAGTGGGGAGGGGAAGTTCATTTCGCAAGTGATTTAGTTCCATCATGTGCTGATACCATGCATTCCATGTGATATCCAGGTACAAAACAGAACACCACTTTATATTTAAATTATGGAGGTGATTGTTTTTTCAGATGCTAAAGTACCTTCAGAATAGTTTGGGGATCATTTTTTCAGCCTACATTTTTGAGCTAGTATTTTGGACTGAGCCTCCATTTTCCCATATGCTGTTGTCAATGGTTCTTCACCCAAGCTATAGAGAAGGTGCTACATTTGACAGAAGTTTTATATTTTTAAGAACATTGTGAGGTACTATTCTGCCAGCTCTAATGAAAGAATAAAAGTCAGGGAGATGAGAGTTTGTTTGTTTAAAAGCTGTACAGCAGCTAGAAGATTGTGGGTGCTTTACAGTGTTAGGCTAGGGAAATTGTTAACAGACCTTTCTGGTGGTAGTCACTAAACTTTAGTTTAGCTACGTATGTCACCTCCTTTCATTATGTCTCTTAATCATCCTTTGCTTTAGGAATTATTACTAGAACTGAAAAAAAAACAGCAAAACCAAACCACAAGAATAAGTGTAATGATCTTCCATTGACTTTAAATACTGAAACCAACAAATGTGTATTACTTACATTCTTTTTAAAAAGACTGTAATTTTTTTTTAAAATAATCCCTTTCTTCTTATCCAGGTGTGTTAATCAGGAGCTCCACAGACATAGGTTCTGAGAGTACAAAACTGCAAATAGCAGCAGATATGGAAAGTCAGGACCACCATGAAGCTAATGACCTGGAAGGAAGCTCTTTGGCTGAAGACCAGATAAATCACTGGTTCAACAAGTACAGGTCAAATGATTTACAATATTTTCCTTATTTACATTAGATTTCAAATGCTATTTTAAAGACTGGACTAATCTATGCTCTTGCAGGCATAATGGGCTACAATGAAATAGGTATAATATTTCCCTTGTTTCTACTGTGGCTAATCCAAGGTGGGTTTTGTTGTTGTTGTAGGGCTCTGGATGTTCAGTAGACAGGAGGGGTTCTTTATTCTCTCTTGTTCATATCCCTATGACAGAGTAAAAGAAAAGAAGGGTTCAGCATTGGACCAGCAACTTTACCACATAATATGGAGGCAGGACAGCTTGGAAGTAACGATTGACAAGTAACATAACAAATTATCTGACAAATTATTTTTTCTGGCACTTGGGGTATGATCAAGTAATTTCATTTCAAAAGTAATTTAACAAGTGGGAACAAAATTACTAGTATACAGAGCAATATTTCCCAGTTACTTATAAAGAATATTTTTAGAGTCAATTAACAAGATTCCATGTATTATTATTTTCAAGTATTATTTCATTCACTTATGTTGCATCCCCACCATCCTCACCCCAAGAAGCTTGATTCATGCATACCTGAGACAGAGATGTTTAGCAGTACTGTACCTTGCTTGTGGAACTCATTCCCACTTACGTTAGATCTGAGAAATCTCATAGTGTGCAATTCCAACTAATCCAGATGGCCAAGGGCTGGCTGTCCTGACACTAAGCCTGCCGAGGCTGTGCTGAATCCAAACTCCTTCTGGCCTGATGATGTTGGAAATTACTTGGGACTACACGACTCTGGCATAACTTTGTGCTTTATGCCATGGTTCTAGGCTGAGTGGGGTTTGGATCTATGAAAACTCAGCTCCTCATTTCTCAATTTCCCCTCTTTTTGGCTCTTCCATCAGCTAATCTTAGCCAGTACAATAGTTGTTCCTGTAGATCTGAGACCCAATAGCATAAGGGTAGTTGTGCTGGCACAAGATGCTTCTGACCATTGCAAATCCTCTACAGCTGATGTATCTTTGATTATACTGTTACTCTCCTGAAGCTGAAATTCAGAGAGAGACTTAATCATTCTGACCTTTTGCATGATTGTTGTTCTTTATATTATGGCTCTGGCAACCAGGCTGTAGAGAGCTGTGCTTATTATACCATAGGGTAGGTCACTTTCAGAAACAAACTAATTAAAATGTGCCTCAAATTTGTCTTAAAACTGCATCAGAGAAATGAAAGGATAAATAGCCCTCAAGCCAGTACACAGTGGGAATGCTACTTAATGGCATTATAATAAATAAAATTAATCCAGGATGAGATACATTGGGCTGTGATCCAGTGATGTGTTCGAGCTATCTCTGCTCATTTCAGCTGAGTTTGCATCTCTGTTTCCTACGGGTTTAGACAGAGGGTATAGAATATCTGGATCTTGACTATTGGTTTGTGTTGGGTAATATATGTGCCATTCCACTCAGCCAATATGTTCATTACAAGAAACCTATGGAAATTTGAAGCCACTTCAGATTTTAAAATGGGAAATAAAGATACAAAACAATACTGTCATAGGCTCACCTTATCCCCATGCAGAACAAGAAGCTCCAGGGCCAGTATTGACTGAGTTTTCTTTTGATGAGAGAGCATTGGAAACTTATTCTCTCTATGTCATATTAGCTTTGCTTGCACTTGTCTGAGCAGAACATAAGTGGAAGTGAAGAAGCATGCCTTCCGCAGGCAGATTTCTGAGACAGCAAATGCACAGGCTCCACGTCTGCACTGCATCCACAATTTCAGCTAACTCCAGTTAGAAACTTCTAGTCTTCTCCTCATTGGCCCACATCTCTCTCCCTCTTACACCTACTTAGTGACACATGTGCTCTGAGCTCAAGAAATGCTACTTTCTCCAAACATCCATTCAAAAGCATAGAGAACAACTCATAACTATTAGCTCCTAGTGAGCATAGGAAATAATAATACCTGGTGAGGATGCAACACATGGACATGCCAAACTATTTACCAGCAGTGCGTCTAACACAGAAATGATTTGTTTACTATAGCAACAACATTTTATTGGCCCAACTGGTAGCTTGAAGATGGAACAAACTTGTTGAGTTACATTATGTTTTTTTTTTAATCTGGGTTTGAAGCAGGATATTCACAACGTACTATAGTAACAACATTTTATTGGTCCAACTGGTAGCTTGAAGATGGAACAAACGTGTTGAGTTACATTATGTTTTTTTTAAAAAATCTGGGTTTGAAGCAGGATATTCACAACACAAGTTTTAATGTACTTTTTTGGTAGCTGTGTTTGAGTCTTGGATTTTTATGCAGAGAAAGTAATGTTCACCCATATACCACTTAATTTTTTTAGATGAGGATGAGCCCATACTTTTGTCCTCAAACACATAAATGTACTCAAATCTTTGCACTCAGTCTTTATGAAAACAGTAACACATATCTATCTATCTATTCTATGTTAGTAGTTTTACTGACATAGAATGAAATCTCCATATTGCATGTAAGCATGCAGCAAAAGAAAGAACAAATCCACTCCTTGGCTATTCCATTATGAGCATGGTGATAAATCTTCACAAAACACTTTTGGAAATCGATATATATATAGCGGAACCAGGACTTGTAGGGTGGAAAGGATTGAACTTTCTCACTGGGAAGGACAGTGCTATCATCTGCTACCTGTGTTCCCAACATTGCTTTTCTGTTCACTATGTACTTATCTGCAATACTCAGAGTAACTCATACCCTTAAAGTATTTCATTTTTTTTCTAATTGTGATTTAAATCCATGCAAACCTACAAACATGAGATCTCGTAGCAGCCAATTACATGCTTTATTTATTTACTACTTATGTTTAGGTCTGTGTTTTTTCAAAGTAATGTTTCATTTCAAGTGGAAATAGAAAGCAGGAAAAAAATCAAGCACATGATTTGAAAACAGCAGCAGCAATATCCATCAACATTTAAAACATGGAGAATTTACCTTCAAACTGGACAAATAAACAATAAAATGGTAAAATTAAAGCATGAATAATAAAATAATGGAAAATGAACTACAACATCACAGTTCTGTGTGTGTCTACCTAGAAGCAAGTCCTAAGTATCCATTTATAACTGACAGGTGCTCGGCTGTGGAATCTTCATCCTCAGAGGAGGAGGCAGTAGAATTACTAGCTGGGGAAGAACAGTTGGTGCCAGTTGGGGGGGGGATTCATGAGGCCCCCATCTTCCTGGGGCCTAGCTCCCTAGGAAGTTTCCAGTAATCAGCCTCCCTTTGCCAAAATGAGGTTGCATTACCTCTTTCTGATTTGGAGCAACTGGACCTTGATCTGCCCCAGTCACCTCTGTCCTGTCATAGCTTGAGGCTGCTAAAATAGTCTGGACCATTTAAGAGATTGTGGTGGCAGGACAAAAGTGACATGGCAGGATCAAAAAGAACAACTTCCTTTCCAAAGCCCCCTCTGAATCTGGTCATTCCGAAGTAAGATACTTTATAGAAATCCCAGCTTGGCTTCTTGCTCCATTATCAATTGGAGCTATCCATGGTGCTGAGCCTCCTTTCTTGATTTCATATTAACCTCAGTCAAGGTTAACCTTGCCAATATTGCAGTCACAGCTAACTGTGCAACTTAGGTCACCACAGCCTTACAAAAAAAGGGGGGGGCAAAGGGTGCCTCCCAACATTCCCTCTAATTTTCTGCCGTGCTAGGCAGGGCTCTACCCTTGTGCACGCAACTTTGCCCCTGCATATGGGGTTGCATTGCAATTGGAACCAAAGGGGCTGAAAACAATCGCTGTTGGTGTGCAGAGGAAGAGGGAGGCTGCATGGAGGGGAATAGAGTCTTGCACACATGCACAGGTGTGCACCTTAGAGGGAACCTTGCTGACTCCTGATTTTGCAACAACACAAGGTGATCCTGGGCCAAGCAACCTAGAACCACACAGTAAGATTGCTGCCTGAATGACTCCCTGTTGATTAGTAAGTCACACCAGACTAAGCCCATTGAATTTGTGGGAATTTGATGAGTCAGCTCTTCTATATCTTTAATTGATTCAAATGGACCTACTCTAGTTGCAGCTTACTATGATACAGTAAGTCAGAAATAAAAGGTAAAG